GATTTACCACGTTCACGGTCCGATTTTGGAAATGATTATGTATACAATTGACTCCAGGCTAGTTGCGTTCCTCTAAGTCCTACCAATATGACTGAGTTGCGAAAACAAGGTCAAACAACTTCTATACAACGAAAGGAGACTGCGACCACACAAAAGCTGTTGTGAAAGCAAGGTCAAACAACTTCTATACAACGAAAGGAGACTGCGACCACACAAAAGGCCACACCATCTTGATTACCTTCGAAAAAAATTTAAAATTGCTAGCGATCAAGACCTCAAGCCCTAGAACAAATAAAAACTAAAGCACATGATTTTCTCACAAATTAATTATAGTCTTTATCAAGCAATTATAGAGGTTATTAGCCATAGATATTATGACCTAAAATAAGAATGTGAATACCGCTTATGCAAAACCTTCAAGCGGATTTTACGAATCCAGATTTTAGTAAATATATTTGAATTCCCGCCTTTAGAAATCATCTTTTATCTCTTTGATTCGCTTGGAGAAATCTAGTAAAAATGATTATTCCATACAACTTTTCTACCATTTAGTTTAGGCCGATATCGCTTTCTTACAAGAATTACTTAATCTTATAATCAAGAAGATATTTTGCTAGGCCATTGTACCATTTGTCTTTAGTTTAATCGAGCTGCAAGCACATTATAAAGACTAAAAATAATGTGCTGCTGTATTCGATTTATACAAACGAAGTGTAAATAGTGTTCAAATAGTAAGGTTATAAGAGTCTAATAGACCATAGTTTCAAAATGCCTAGTTATATTTAATGGCTAAAATTTATATTTCGTTTATGTGTTTGGTTTTGAGATCACCTTAACGAAAAATAAGTAATGGAAGATATGAAGACCAAGATGGTGTGGAAGTCATAGACTTGGTATTAGAGATAGAAACAGGATAGACGCGGCGGCGATGGGAGCCAGTGGGCTGGCGGTAGTTTTTATAAGAGATGTGGTCCATGTGGCAAAGGCCTGACCATGACAATAACCCAGAGGCTTGAGCCTCGAATTAGTCATCAAGAGGCAGGGTAGGGCCAATAACGCCTCGGGTGGCACAGATGGGGTGTCAGGGTTCGAGTGAAATATGTGAACCAGATAGAGGGCAGACGGATCATGCGGGGCAAGAGAGAGACTGTGGTAAGACCTAGTTCAAAGAAACGCGGTAAAAAGGCCAGCGTGGAGTGCGGAGGGTTCTCACGAAAGCCGCTCAAAAGAGCCGACCGTACCACATTTAATTAAGCAAGTAAAATATTGTGACAGTGAAGGCGTGACAGAAGGATATAGGAAATGTGAATAGGCCAGGGTAGAATGGGAGATACCGTTACTGTCTAGCACTCGTTTGGTCAAAGGATCGGCTTCACTTGACTCTTTGAGGAGTTGTAATATGGTCCTACGAATGGTAAATCTCTTTGACGATGCCGACTGCGATGCCGGTGTAACGTCTGGGAATGTACCAAGGCCAAGGTCCGACTTTGGAAATAATTATGCATACAATAAACTCAGGACAAAGTGAGTTCCTATAAGTCTTCCTACCAATATGACCAAGTTGCGAAAACAAGGTCAAACAACTTCTATAAATTATGGAGTCTATTGTTATGACAAATAGGATTTTTATTAATCGACAGTACGTACAAAGAATGTGATATGAATAAACGCATCGCCTTGTTTTAAATTCACATCGCCCTGTGAATCAAGGTCACTGTTCGCATTGTAACGTAGTGGTTAGTATGCTGTTATTACACGCTACATTTCCATGGTTTCACTGTCGTTGGAAGTGGTGATAAGACCCAGGCGATTTCATAACTACAGCCCACTCTGGATAAAAACACCTTTTGGGAGAGCAAGGCTATGCAAATTTTAATAAAAATGTCAGATCTACTTATGTCATTGTGTAAAGATTCAGCTACAATTCCTTCATCACCTTAAACGAAGTAGGGTGAAAATATCTCACATAAGAAGTGGGTTGACCTCGTTGTCGCAACTTTGTCTTATTTTCAGGGAGACTATGTAGAACGCACCTAGTCCAAAGTCATCTGCCATAGTAGTTGTCATGATTTCCAGCAGCTGACAGTGAAATTGATATATTCTCAAACGTTTCGCCGGCATCGTAGTCGGCATCGTCATTGAACCTTGCCATTGTCCGCACCAAGATACGAACTCGTCAAAGAGACAAGTGAAGTCAATCCCTCGACAAACGGTTCTGCTGGTAACGGAAATACTATCACTCCTCTTTCTGTCATTGTCTATCTATCTACTCTTTACCCTCTTATCCCACTGCAACCCTATCACAACTTCTCACTTGTTTACATGCCAATCATCAAAATGTGTGCCCTTTTGTGGCAAACCGAATGTGGCCTCATCACACTTGCTATTTACCCCGACTCATATCTTTTGATGGGCTTATCCCACTCGGGCCTCCAATCAGGATCCTTTTATTGTCTCGTAGACCCATTCCTTATCTTTCTGATTGACCGATTTCACTCGAGTCCGGTCCCTGTGTCCATTTCACTCTTGGCGCTATTTCTCAAGGCCATAGAAGCACATACTCCTCCGCTTCACTGAGCGGAGCGCTTGAGCTCTGATTCCCATGCTTGCAGATATGAGGTCTTCCCTACACTGGTCGTCTTCTTGATTAAACCCATGTCATCTGAGCAAAATGTGGACGCCTATCTCTGGTCGCATGCGGCATCTCAAGTGGATTTCTAGTGCATTTTTACCGGAACCCCTAATTTCTATGCCAATGGGTTTATCCGTCTGCCCCGCTTCCTAACTGCCAGGCCCCCAAAGTTTTACTGGTTTATTCAAATGGCCATCACTCACTGACAACGTCTTCGCTTAATTGCCGAATACCCCTGCCCTCCAATTTCGTCATCACAAACTCTTTTCCTCCAGTTAGTGGCAGGTCCCTGCTCCAGGCGTATCCTTTTTGCTGGTCTTGCTCTATTGTTTTCTTTGATTCTGCAAAGTTATTGCTAAATCTACCTTCCTTCAATCTCCTGTTCATTAGATTTGTATCCTTAAGGATTTCAATGGCCTCCCTAATCTTCCGCTTCCTTGTGTTGTCACCGTATGGAGCTTTCCTTTCTGTTGCTTTCTAATTGATATCGTGTCCAGTTCGTGCGATGTGTTCTGCTAGTTCTGATCTTTCAGTATCCATTGTCCTGCAGAGCCTCTGATGTTCCTTGATTCATGTGCTAATTTTTCTCCCTGTTTCTCTAATATATTTATGTATGCAGCCGCCGCATGATATACACTAAACTCCCGAACATTCCAATTTATCTGCCCTTTCATGTTGCGTTGCTAGACTTGTGGAAAGTGTTGATTTTTCCTTCATGACCACCAGAATATTCTATTTCCTCAATATTGGTCGTAGTTTTTGAGTTAGTTCTCAGAAAGG